TTCCGTGTCCTTTTTCATGTACCGGGCACTTATAAGTAACATAGGTCAAATGTTCTGCAGTGCCTTTTAGAGGGGGTTTCATATAGATTCACCTTACTTATGTCTGTGGTTTGGATTATAAATGTATTGTCTGACAGCATGGTCAGATTTTTCTGTGAAGTCACTGGTGAGCTGACGTTATGCAAATGATGCACTGACTCCCACGCTATAACCGCAGGCATGTCTTATCTCTTATTCCCAGCAAATGACTCAGGATAGATTCCTTGGAAATCTGAAGTAATGGACATCTTCACAAGACAACTGTTCATGACCAGTTTGAATATCATAATGACCCATTCAACACTCATTCAGTGCAGAGACTATAACAATGATATATAGTGGCCATGTTAATACAGTTCGGGGTGTCTACACATCTATGATCTTTTTATGCATTACAATCACTCAGATATTTATATTTTATGTAGTAGTGGGTTCTCCTAAAATTATACCTCATTTTTTGGAGACCAATAGTGCATTCTCATTTCACTATTGTTTTACTGAAATGTTACTTGCTTTTGCAACTGTACGTATATATCTCGACTACAGTTGTAGTTTTCTAAATTGATATCACCTAATAGTTTAAGCCATTTAATAGTGTTAGTTGATTAAATTAATTAAAATGTTTCCCTGTTGACAATAACAAATATATTTTTATAAACCGTTTCTATTCTTTTTTCACACATCCAAAAGAAATATATTATTTTTGTATCATACATACAGTATACAATTTAAAGCTGTGAATTAGTGTTTCACTGACAAATATAATTGTGTGATTTACTTTGAAAATTTTCACTCAGAAATTGCTAGATTTCACAAATATTACAAAGAAATGCAAAGTCACACAAAAGTACTAAAATGTAGTAGTAGAAAAAATAAAATAATAATTTATTGTAAAACGTATTTCAGTAATCTTTTTTTATTTACTACTTTGAAAAATCATTTTTGCAGTGTTGTGTAAATAAGGTTAAAAAACTGTCAGAATGTGATGCATTCATGTGATACAAAGAATTTAACATTATATATTATAATATTTATATTATATAATTAAATTTTTTTAATGGAGTGGATTTTGTAAACAAATATCAAATCCTATATTGCACTGTAAAAAATATTTTTCTAAATTCTAAATAAAACAAAGATTGTTCAAGCACATTTCAAAAGAAAATACTATTTCTACTTCAAAAATTTAATGTTTAATTCAATGTGTTACCTGCTGTTTTTTTTTTGTTTTACTAGTGAAAATTGTTTCTGCGCCAATTTTTTCAGTGTACATCTATATTATCATATTTTTATTTCCCAAAATTAATTTATTCTTATTTACACACTACATTTGTCCTCTACCTATACTCATATAATCACTCTTCTTTTTATCCCAATTAAATAAGCTGACAGTATAGCGCTAAACAGAATCAATAGTCACACTATAAGATCACTACCCTTTGTATTTTGTCTTCTTTTTCTTCTCTTTTATTTCACTCACACTATGCCCCTCTGGAAGACTTGACCTTTCGCAGCACCTTCTTTTCACCCAGTATTCCTGTTCACCCACACGAGGGTTCCCTCGCACTAAAAACTCTCCGTTCTGATAGCTGATCCTCACAGATGTGCTGGGGTAAGTGCCATACACCCGTCTGAGATCCTCTTTCACGGAGTCTGGAAGCTTTCAGTTCACACAGAACACTCTCTGGAGTTTCCCCCAGCACAGCTCCCCTCTCAGGGTGAACTCTTCCGGCCGTGCTTCACTGGGCATCGCATGGTGACTGAATCCTGGGGCTTGTTTTGGAGCAACATTTGGCAGGGGAAGCACACTTGATTGATGGTAACAAATAGGACTAAAAGAAACTTTTTGGTTTGGTCCATAGAAATGGTAGTACTCATGCTCAGCTGTGTCCTGATAGCTCTGAGTGTAAAGGGTCCCTCGTCCCAGCATATGGCTGTAAACTGGAGGCAAAAAGTGGCCATGAGTCGTCCAATAAGAGTACCAGTAAGGAACCAAAGTGACCATTGAATAGCTTGACTAATAAAAGTTTGGATAAAATATGCTCATTATATAATTGCATGGATTGAACAAACCAATAAATCCCACAGGCAGAACAATTCAGGGTATAGTCTGAATATTTTTATTTTGTACAATTTTTTTTGTAAAACCCAATGTGATAGTTCTGATTATGTAATTTTGGAAGAAACAATTTCATTAAAAAGGCTGCAAAAAAAAATAAAAAATCAGGATTACAGGTATATGAATGTTTGAATATTTTGGAAATTTTTGCAAAAATATACATCAACAACAAATTAATAAACTGTGTAATGTTAAACTGTAAAATAAAATTGTGTATGTGCATATTATTCTACTGAAGATACTAAGAAAATATAAGAATATATATGTGTACATTTAAGCAACTCTGTACATAAATGTACAGGAAACAGTCTTAAATTGAGGCATATTCTTTCATATAATTAAGAATTTAAGTCAAAGTGAAAATGAAAACCAAGTATTTGCTGTTGCATCTGATTAAACAATGCAGTGTTACTCGTGTCATGAAAATTGAAAAAAATAAAGTACTTACCCATTTGAAGACTCTTCGTGCTGTTCTGTGTAACACGCATCATTGAAACAAATTTAACAAAGAGTTTTGGTATTCAAGCAGCACATAACATCAACAACATGTAGCCTACGTCTTATCAGTCTTAATTGCCATAAACTGGCCTGGTATACTGAGCATAAATAATCTGTTTTGACAAGCTGCAGTGTAACTGATTTTCTGGAGATATGATCTCTGATTTTTTTTTTTTCAATTTCCTTCTGCGCATAAGCATATGCTTAGAATGCGGAAAGACAAAAATCTAATAAATAAAATGGTGGTAAAACTGCTGCCAAGAGAACGATGTGTATTTCGCTACAAGCATATTACAACATAAGATTTAATAATATGCATTATATTACTTGTTCAAGCTCTTGTTCTGTCCAGGCTGGACTATTGCAATGCTCGCTTGGCAGGTCTTCCAGCCAGTTCTATCAAACCTTTACAATTAATCCAGAACGCGGCAGCAAGATACATTTTTAATGAGCCGAAAAGAATGCACGTCACACCTCTGTTTATCAGTTTGCACTGGCTACCAATAGCTGCTCGCATAAAATTCAAGGTATTAATGTTTGCCTACAAAACCACCACTGGCTCTGCACCTCTTTATTCATTACTTCAGACTTATGTGCCTCTAGAAGCTTGCGTTCTGCAAGTGAACAGCGCATTATAGTGCCATCCCAAAGAGGCACAAAATCACTTTCACAGACTTTTACATTAAATGTTCCCTCCTGGTGGAATGACCTGCCCAACTCAATCTGAGCAGCTGAGTCCCTAGCCATCTTCAAGAAACGACTAAAAACACATCTCTTCCATCTTTATTGGACCCTCTAACTCTAGCACTCTCTATTCGAATTCTATTCTTAAAAAAATAAATTCGTAAAAAACTCTATTCATTTACTAACTGCTTGTTTTCTTTCTTTAAAAAAACTAGCTTCTCTAATCTTTTTGTATTTATCTATTTGTTTTCTTTTTATTTATTATGCAATTAAGAAAAGCAAAAAATGTCTCTAACACTAGCTTGTTCTATTCTTTTTCCATTCTATCTGTTTTCTTTTTATTTATTATATAATGAAAAAAACTCTTGCTACGTGTACTACGTTAGGCTAACTGAGACTTGTTATGGCACTTGCATATCATTGCTCTCTTGTTGATTTTGATTGTTTCCATTGTCCTCATTTGCCACAAGTTGCTTTTGATAAAAGCGTCTGCTAAACAGGCACGTGCACTCATAGACATCAAAGGGGGCTTGAGCACCTGCCCTTTTTCCTCCTTGAGAGAAATTGTTTTTTTGTTGTTGTTGTTTTTTTATAAATGCATATATGTATATATGTGTGTGTGTGTTTCTGTTTGTGCACAGCTGTCTCTGTCAAACAAATAAAAAATCAAAATATCAGGTCTGGTCAGGAAATGCTGAGACTGTCCAGTTCTGATGCCTTTCTCGTCTCCGCGTCTCCGCGTCTCTGCGCAGCACAGCAGTGTAGCACTGTAGGCGGAGCATGAGTAAGGCTGGGGAGCCTTAGCCAGGGCAAAAAAAAAAGTGATTAAAAAGTGACGTGACGTGGCCAAGTATGGTGACCCATACTCGGAATTAGTGCTCTGCATTTACCCATCCAAAGTGCGCGCACACACACACCGTGAACACACACCCGGAGCAGTGGGCAGCCATTTATGCTGCGGCGCTCGGGGAGCAGTTGAGGGTTCAGTACCTTGCTCAAGGGCACCTCAATCATGGTATTGTATGGAAGGTGGGAGAGAGCGCTGTGCATTCACTCCCCCCACCTACAATCCCTGCCGGTACAAGACTCGAACCCGCAACCTTTGGGTTACGAGTCCGACTCTAACCATTAGGCCACGACTTCCCCCAAATGCCACTAAATTGGACAAAAATGCCCCTGCACGAACAAATTAAATCTATTATGTCTGTTGCTAACAAAGTGTAAATTAATAGAAATTAAATTAATGTGAAGAATACATTTTAAGTAGCATATTAGCGGTAAATGACTGAAACAGTAAAATAAAGAATACAAAAAAGTATAAATTAAATTAGATTATTATTTTGTGGGAAAAAAAGTGAAAAATAGAAAAAGAGGGAAATGTAAAAAATGAATAATATATTAATTTAATTATGTATGCGTGGTGGGCAAAAACAAAAAATCTGAAAATTATTGTGTGATTGGAATGTTAACAGAAGATACTGAAGTTTTAACAGAAGGTCATTTAAATTGAAGTGGATTACATAATAAATTATAAAATAGTAAATTTTGTCTCTTAATGTCGCAAAAGTAAATAATTTAATAAAAAAAATAAAAATAAAAAACTTAAAGAAATTCAAGAAATAAGTAACGGTTGTTGAATGGCATTGGATATGGACGCATTCTGTGTAGCAGACCACTGAGCCCCACCTCCACATGGATCAACAGCTAACAAATTGATTGATCACGATACATTCGTCCAACCGCATCGCGGCTCTCATGTCTTTTCTTTCTAACGGCTGTTCTGATTGGGTGGATCAAGTGTCAATCAAAGAGTTAGCCACGTCCCCTTTCTGGACATCAAACCACAGAGAAAAAACTGCAACAGGGGCTAACTTAAACATAGGGGGAAAAGTGATACAAATCGTTTTTTTTACATTATCGGTTATTTAATTGCCTTTTTTTATTGTAAGTTTTAAAGAACACATTTTTTTCTTGCGTTTCGACAACTTTCTTCTCTGTTTGGTGCGGCCGTGTGGGGATGGATGAGATGCGGCCTAGTAGCGGAGCAGCAGCGCACCTCGCCTCGCTCTTTCCCCCAGGATTGCAGGCCATTTATGGGGAATGCAGGCGCCTGTATCCCGATCAGGCCAACCCGCTGCAAGTCACAGCCATTGTGAAGTATTGGTGAGACGTCTGAAGCATTCGTATTTTATGTTGTTGCTTGAAATGCAGACATAAAAACAAGTTCAGTAATACTGAATTTTATTCAAAGGATATTTTCCACTATTTCATAACTAGTTTTTACTATTATAACAATTGAGTGGTGATCAAAGATGATAATCACATTTCAGTCAGCAGAAGCATTATTAATAGGCAAATAACAAACTTTCAAGTGTACTTTTCCATCTCAATGATTCAGTTTTTCCTCCCATAATCCTCTTTTCAGGTTAGGGGGTCCAGATCCTCTGGACTACATTAGTATGTACAGAAACTTTGGATGTCCTGGACAAGATATACCAGAACATTGGCACTATGTCAGCTTGGGTCTAAGTGACTTGTATGGGGACAACAGAGTTCATGAGTAAGAATGACAGATTATGAGATGAACAGTTTCATTACATGGCAGTGTTGTTACAGCAATACCCAACTAGTTTAGTTCAACTTAAATTATTTATTTAAAATATATACAAATATTTACATGATGTACCGTTATTTTCAGCAGTTGAATTAATTTAATTTTTAGTTTTATGTGAAGAGATGTGTTGATGTAGGTTGGTATTGATTGCATTTAAGCTGTAATCTGCTTCTTTATAGATTCACAGGTCAAGAGGGCCCAAGTGGTTTTGGTTTTGAGCTCACATTTCGCTTGAAGAGAGAAGCAGGAGAGACGGCACCCCCTACCTGGCCAGCTGAGCTCATGCAAGGCTTGGCTCGATACGTGTTTCAATCAGGTACTGTGCCTGCACCCACTCTTAAAGGGGTCATGAACTGAGAAATAAAATTTTCCTTGATCTTTTGACATCTAACAGGTCAATGTATTGTAAAAGCTTTTATTGAAACCAAGCTCAGAAAACGACTCGTTTTGGAATGTGCCACTTTATGACGTAATAGTGTCGCTAAGCACGGCCTCCTCAGAAGATCATCAACGGCTGCTTCTACATCACTGCCTCTTTAGCCCCGCCCACTGATACACGCTTGTAGTAGGAGGAGAGGAAATACTAGAGAGACGTGAACACAGGATTACTCCATCAACAGAACCATACAGATGACATTACCAGATTACAAGACACTGTGTAGTGTAAGTTGTGAAAAGCAGTCTTTGAATTGCCTTCCTTGTGATCCTAACATATCTAGATCAGACGGGATCGCGGTTGCGTCATGTCGCGAATTATTTTCTCTTTCAGGTCAGAAGTGGCGTGAATGCTTGTATGTCAGAAATAGAGCAGGACATCAGTTTACCGTCTGAGATTTGTTGTGTCAGTCCGTGCCACATCCAGTGTAGACAGAATTGCAGATTATAATGGGTTCTGCTGTCTATAGTCTCACATCCGGTGTAAACACGGGGTAAAATTGGCAAAGAGCTCCAGATCGCGTCAGTGAAACAGTTTGTTTGTTTGTTTGCTTTACTTTGCTACAGATTAATTTGTAAACAAGACAGTATGACACAGGCTTAGAAAGTAAACGATGATGCATCGTCTGGTCTGCGTCTGACTAGAGTGGATCCAACAGTAATGTCGCAACACAGAAGTGTGAGTATTGAGTAAACATGCTTTTACCACATTGCATTGTCTGTTCTAGACCATTTGATATATATTCAGTATTTATATATGTTTTTAACCTAAATGACCCATGTTGTTTTCAGAGTGCTTCACAGCAACGTCCATCTGTTATTTTAATAAGCGAAACTGTTAGCCAATCATAGCAGTGGCCGTTTACTTGCGAGTCTTGAATGCTCCCCGCCTATAAAACAGACTGTTCTGCAGTGAGGCTCAAAAACAAGATAGAAAGTAGCTTATTACTACTAAATTATGATGGTTGTTTTTTTTTTAATGTAAAATCACACTAACATTATAAGTGAACCTCAGAGAACATTAAAATAAAATAATTTTAAAAATGCAGTTCATGACCCCTTTAAAGGGTTCACCCAAAAATGAAAATTAGCCCATAAATTACTCACCCTCAAGTCATCCTAGGTGTATATGACTTTCTTCTTTTAGACCAGTGTTTCTCAACCCTGGTCCTGGGCGCCCCCCAACACTACACATTTTGTATGTCTCCCTTATCTGACACACCTATTTCATGTCCTGGAGTTTCTTTTAATGAGTTGAATCAGGTGTGTTTGATTAGGGAGACACACAAAATGTGCAGTGCTGGGGGGCGCCCAGGACCAGGGTTGAGAAGCACTGTTTTAGACGAATCCAGTCGGAGTTATATTAAAAATGGTCTTTGATCTTTCAAGCTGTTTAATGGCAGTCAGCGGGTGTTGCATGCATCAGTTCAAAAGCAGTTAATTAAAATGCACCCATCCATAAAAAAAAAGTGTCTCACACGGCTCCGGGGGGTGAACAAAGGCCTTCTGTAGGGAATCGATGCGTTTTTGTAAGAAAAATATCCATATTCAAAACGTAATAATCACTTTAATGTAGCTTGCGCTCACTGTTGTAAACTGGAAGCAGTTCCGGGCGGATGACGTATGGAGGGCAGCGCTGCGCATCCTAATATCGGCCGATATATCGGCCGCGGCGATGTATCAGTCGACCACTATTCATGATAATTTCTCAGCCTGATAGTGTGACCCTTTTAATGCTTTTAATCTAGAATCCAATTCAGTGATATGAGGTGCAGCATGTGGAATCGCACATCTAAATATGTATGGACTGTATTTAGCGGAATGTGGCATTCTGCTGTATTTTAGTAGCTTTATTGATTGGAAGTGCAAACAATCCACATACAAACTTTTCTTGTTGTTTTTAGTGTAAAAATAGCAGATTTGTCCCATAGGAGGTATCTATGTCTATATTCTATTGCATGTACTGTATGCAATATATCAGAGTTGTCAAACTAAAATTAAACTTAATTTTAATTTTAAATATTACTGTCTTGAAAGTATGCAGATCTCTCAGACAAATCGTTTGCTCTGCGACAGAAAACACATTCTGTAGCGGAGATCACATTTCGTGGCACAGTCCGTTGGACAACAGCGAGTCTAGAATCCAGCATATGTTACTCACGGAGGACCCTCAGATGCTGCCAGTGCAGACCCCCTTTGGTCACGTCAGCTTCTTTCAGGTCAGGCACAACATGCCAGCAATTTCAAAAACGTTGTTGAATATAGGGTAATATAAAGTCCACATTTATTTAGTTTTCTTTTTTGTTTCTTTAGCCATTTTGATCGTTATGTTTATATAGCCATCTAGGTTCAACCGAGCCTCACCGTACATTTGAAATAAGCTTCCTCACTTATTAACCTTGTCCTCTTATGCATGTGTCTCCTTGTGATTGGTGTAAATTAAGTTTTTCCTTCTGTGCTCATCAGATTGTGGGTGTTTGCACAGAGGAGCTGCAGGCAGCGCAGCAGTGGAACGGTCAAGGCATTCTGGACCTGCTGAGAGGAGTGCACATGTGAGTAATCCCACAGCCAGCCATGAGACAGGCCAAGTACATGCGTTAAAGAAACTCCAGGACTGATTTAACCAGCTGAGAAACTAAATTAATGCCCTTGATATATTACTTTGTCTCTATGGCATTTATGGATGGGTGAAGTTATAAGTTTGTGTTAAATTTACTGTAAGCAAATGGAAGAATATGTGTCATGTTCCTAAATGATGTTTCTTTTCCACTCTTGCTGAGGCATTGTGGGAACTGTAGATAAGAGCAGTGTACTTTGAATGCTGTTACTCTGTAAGAAGTGGGTCAGGAGCTTTCATTTGCTCTGAGATGCTTGGGGCTGTTTTTGCTTTTCACTAATTCTGAAATGGGTCTTGTTTCATCTGCTGTTTTTGCAGTGCTGGGGGTCCATGGTTAATCACTGACATGCGAAGAGGGGAAAATCTATTTGACATTGATCCACACTTGCAAGTAAGGTTTTCCAAAGTTTGCATGTTGTTGAAAGGAACAGTTCACCCACAAACGAAAATTATCTTATTTACCCACCTTGATATTTTTCCTAAATGGCTTGCTGTTATTTCCTTCTGTGGAACACATAAGGAGAAATTTTGAACAATTTACATGTCCATCTTTACCATATGACAACTGTTCATGGTTATTTGCTCCAACTCTTCCTTTAAAGATGATTTTTAATGATATTTTGGTCTGCTTCTCACACAAATTTAACTTTAGTATTTTGGTAAAATTATCAGTATTGATTGATATTATAAATACATTGGTCGATATTGAATATTTAATAGTTTATGCCCATTTCACCTATTTTTACATTTTACGCTAGTATGAGGTTGGTAAAAGTGCTATTGTTTTGGAAAGAAGTGCTCATCCAGACTGCATTTACTTTATCATAAATACAGTAAATTAGCAGTATATTTTACATGTATTTTATTCTAAAGCTGAATTTTCAGCATCATTACTCCAGTCTTCAGTGTCACATGATCCTTCAGAAATCATTGTAATATGCTGATTTGCTGCTCAAGAAACATTTTATTAGAAGTATTCTAATAAGTATTCATTTTGGACAGAAGTCTCTGTCATTGCTTAAAGTTAACTTTTGAAAGACTAATCATTTTATAACACTGTTAAATGTAATCTTTAGCCGATCTCAAAATGAATATCAGTTTTTCATACTGTACATTACATATTATGTTGTGTTGCCTAAATGTACTTTTTATATTTTATGTTATGTTTTTGGTGTTTTATTATATTTATTTAGAGAAAATAGATTAGAATTTTAATATCAGCCATTTATTCATTACTGACCATAACATGATAATTATTTGCTTATCTATATCAGCCAGAATTTTAATATCAGTGCAGTTGCTAATTTTTCTGTGAATTATTCCTTAAAATTAAGAACTATTTAACAGTGCGGCACATTTAGATACTTACTTTTTTTAATTTATCCAAGCTAAACTTGTCATGTCCTTTGAATATTTTGCACCTCTGCCTCTTTTTTGAACACATTTTACCTCTCTCAAGTAATGAATGATAATTATTCCTGGCGATTAAGGCCATCTGTTATAACGCATACTGTGATGCTTCAGGAGTGATGGGAAAAGATGGAGTATAATTAAGTCTGTGGCTGTTAAACTCAACACCTCCACCTGCTGTTAGTCCTCTGACCCCTCGCTCTCTGCACTGAGACGGACACATGTCCAGCCATGCTGATCTCCTGCTGATTAGTGCGTGTGTTGATTGCTCATCCCAAGCAGGAACGAGTGGATAAGGGCATAGAGACGGACGGCTCTAACCTGAGCGGGGTCAGTGCCAAGTGCGCCTGGGATGACTTGAGCCGACCTTCCGAGGATGAGGACGACAGCAGGAGCATTTGCATTGGGTCACAGCCACGCAGGCTGTCAGACAAAGGTGATTGGTGCTAAGGACAAGTGCAGCCCAATTTAAAAACAAGACACCAAACTCCGTATGCTTCAGAGATTTTGTATTGGCTCAAATTACTATGTCGTTGTCATGAGTATTTGTATTGTTCATACAGACACTGAACAGATTAGAGAAGCCTTGAGGAAAGGACTGGAGATTAACAGCAAGTCTGTCCTGCCTCCCATCAGCAGTCAGAGGCACAGTCACGACCGGCCACAGTAAGTCCTGCCCTTTCATGACAATCAAAGCTTCAGGACTGTGTGATTATACTGGTCAAGCGAAAGTATGGTTTACCAGTGCTGTGACCTTAATTCTGGAAGTAGTAGATTGAAGAGTTTGTTTCAAGACACCGAACTGCTTTGGTTTGCTATGCCACCTGTTCGGGACAGGATTAGTGGTCGACCGATATATCGCCAAGGCCGATTTATCGGCCGATATCTGCCATTTTTCAAATATCGGCATCGGCCGATATGTTTTTCTGTTTGGCCGTTGTGTTCGAGGCGGGACTTTTATTTTGACGGTGCTGAGAACGGCTGCGGCAGCGCCTGAGCACACAGTGCTCACATTCTCCCTCTTGTTCGCTGTTGTCATTCAGTTCTGTCTAATACGGATAGAAGATCTAATAATCAGCTAGAACTGTTAAACAAAGGAATAAAAACGTATACAAAAAAAGTATTATGATTGCTTTAATATTATTAAAGGCAAACATTACAATACTTTCTCGTTTGCCGTCAGCATTCCGCAAATACGCATTTGTATAATTTAAACAAATCTTTGAATGACTAATGAACATTTAATTTCACAAACCTTGCAGACTTAGTCGAATCTAGTTGTGAGATCTTGTGAAGTGTGCATGTGACCTGCATGACTGCGTGTTCCCTGCGTGACTTTCGGTCCTTGCAAACTGAATGCTTTAAACATTA